CAAAAGATTAGTGTGACAAAACAACTATTTTAAGTGATTCTTAACTTCCAGTGAAGTTATTTGACATGACTGTTATCACAGCAAGAAAGTTATATTCTGTGACTAGACCTTTTTTGTACCACGCTTCAAGGAAGGGCTGCACAACAGATTTCACCAGCAAGTCACGCTCGAGGTGGGCTGGGCTTCCTCCCCAGCAGATATAGCTAGCAATTTAAAGGGTATTTCTACCACTATTGAATAAGGGGAAAAAAAAAGTGGAAAAAAGATACAGAAACAGCACTCAAATACACTCCAAATAATTTAGCAGCTGCTCTACCTACTTGCAGTGCAAAAGGCAGTCAAGATACCCTGAACCTCAGAGGAGGTACACTAGTGGGGCCAGCAAACTAAAAACAAAAGTAGTAAAAATGTATTTAAGAGATTTCACCATTACATTTTGCATGCAAATGTATTGTCTTCATGGTATAATCCAGTGCGTTTTGATCCAACATGTTTTCTGAGATTTACACACAGGGATATTTTCACTGACAAGACATAAACAGTACAAGTCTACATACATGATGTTAAAAATACCTTCAAATACCTTGCAACTAGTTCTTGCTGCATTTATATACTAAAGCTCACTAATTAGAGGTCTTGGGATGTCATGTGGGCAGAGGCAAATGCATTTTGCAATTCAAATTGCTACAGTGGTTTGAAGGGAATACTCTTGTAAATATTATTTGGGTTATTCTATCGGGCACTGGAGGTTTATTTTGTGGTATAAAGCAAGAAAAGCTACAAAGCATCTGCCAGAAACCAGACCAAGGTTATCTAACCAACAAAGCAGCTTATAAAAGGTCTCTTATCACATGCTCAAGGTACATGATTCCATAAAGCTTCTCAAAGTATCATGCTTACAAAATGGTACTTCTCACAGGTTCAGAAAGTCAATATAATTGGAAGGAAATAGGTCTTGGATAAGTCAGAATCCACTAGGGGTTAAACAGACACTCCTAGGAGATTTCAACAGAACAGAGGCAGGTTTCACATATTTTTCATACCTGATGTCTCTGGTGACCTCTTAAAAGTAGATCAAATTACTGAAACACCCTGATGACTATGAGCAACACTTCATAAACAAACTTTTGAGAGTGAAAACTCAGTATTAATAGCAGCAATCGTCCACTACAAGCCACAGGGATAGGACACTCTTGCTATTAACATTCCGTTTCCCCTTCAATGGTAACAGCTCAACCACAACCACCCCAAGGAGATAAAAATACACCCAAAGGGGCTGCTCCCACTGGTTATCCGGGGAGAGGATGTAGGTGCTCGTTCTTTGTTTGTGCTGTATTACAGGAGATACATTATTCGAATCCAGCACACGGTGAGGGGGAATAAAAGAGATGCCCCGCAGGCAAACACAACGTAACGGTGTATCACTACCATAGCTAGTCAACCTTCAAAGCACTCGTGGGCGTCTGATAAAACACACTACCAAATGGCATCATCCTCTACTCTTCCATAGGCTCCAAGGGAGATATTAACATCCACCAGCCATTCAGTTCGCCTCAGCTTGCTGTAATATTCTTCAATAATTACATAAAACAGGACATACATAAACTCCAATAAAGCAAATAGCAAATCACCACAAAAACAGCGGGCGATGTACCTGGCTGCCACATTCATGCTCTGTGGCTACTATATACCCACGGCAGCACAGATAAGGCCACTTACCTGTGATAGATCAAGACACAATTACTTTGCTCCCAAGTAAACCTCCCTAGGAATCGGCTTCATCCTGTCACGCCGATTCTACATCCATTTGCTCTGCTCACTGCTGCCTCCTTACTATATCCATGAACTTGCACAACTCTGAAGGAAGTGATTCTTCTGAACTAACTTGGGAAATTTTGCCCCATTCCAAACACACTGAACAGGAACATTAACATATCCATTTTACACAATCTGGCAGTATTTCTAATGTGACTGCAATTGTGCAGTTTAAGGCTGTAATCAATAACTGGGCAGAAGTGACGAAGACTGCACATTCCACCACAGCTGGCATTAGCTTTCACTCTGTGTTTTGTTTGTATGGAGACAACCACTGCTAATAACAAAAAGTCAAGCCTTGTTTTTTGCCTGTTCTGCTTAGGCCTCCTAAACAGCCGCTGCTCACAAGCTATGGTCATTCTTCTCATCTGTATACAGAAGGTAGAAATACTTTGCCCTACAGAAAAAAAATACATTTTTAAATAAATAATGTTATAAAAAGGCATAACTGGACACTAGAATTTTCAAAAATCATGCCCACTTAAATTACACTAAAATATACTTAGATAAACATTTTGAAACAATTGGGAGCCAAATCCATCATGAAAATAAAACAAATCTCTAATGCAAGAAATAAAATAAATCCCATCTATTCAGCTCCGGAAATTTTTATAAAGCAAAAGTAAAGATGTCACATAGGTTGTTATAGTTGTAAACTGTAGCACTGCAGAGACGAAAGACCAGTAGAGTAATCCTAAAGGACAATCAGAATTCTGCCAACGCTGTGTTTTTGCTGCAGAAATCCTAGGTTCACGCTCTTCAAGGTGGATTTCAAGTGCTAGTGAACAAATGGTACTAACTCAATTGGATAGTGAACTGTTTGCTGTGTCAGAGCTTTTTGCCAAACATATATATAATTTTTCTTTTTGCTGTATGGATAATCAACCCCAGATGGCAATTTACATAGGCAACAGCATAAAGGAATCCACGCTCTGCTGGTGCTCTCAGGCTCAATCAGAGCAAGCACGGGCGTTTGAGAATGTCACTGTTTATTTTTAATTGCTGTGTCCCTCCTTTGTGCAGGTTCAAGCGGTCAAAGACGTCGCAGTCCATTAGCACAACTGGAAAGTGATGCCACTTCATTTGGCGAGAGAGTTCCTCAAATTTAAAAAGCAGCTGATTTGTAATGTCCCTAAATGCCCAGTGGGCACCAGCTGTCAATCTCAGTTACCATAGGGTCAGGGCAAAGAAAGGTCAGAGGGAGTCATAAACCGCAGCGTGTTGTGAAATGTGCTTCCTCCGTTACCGTGTAGGCCTGAGAAAGGCCTGACCTTTCCCCGGTGCCCGCTCCGGGTGACGCTGGCAGGGGTGACCGCGGCGCCGCGCGGTGCGAATCCTTCCACCGGCTGCTGCCTCCCCTGCCCGTGCGGCAGGAACACTCACAAGCTGCTCGAGGCGTGAAACAAAGCCAGGATCTTCACCCACTCCTGCACCACTCAGATGTGCCGGTTACAGACCAGCAGAAACACTAATCCATTAATACTTACTGAAAATAAACTGAAACTTTGGGGGAAGTGGCTAATGCCATTAATGCCGAGGGATCTGGCTCCTCTTCATCAGCGCTCTGCTCATCTGCTGCTCACCTTTTACCTCCCTGCTCCCTGGAGGTCAGGGAGGTGGAAACATATATTTTTATATAGCTCTTCAAGTCTTTCCTACCATGCTCTTGAATGCTCTCTTGCAATAGGCAAGTTATTCACGTTCTTGTCATTTTCTGCCATCATACCGATCCTCAAGGAACGGATTGCAGTTCCTAGCTGTATTTCTCTAAAACATTCTTGGACGTTACATGAAGAGCTAATCAGTCACTTCCACGCAGCCTGGTTACTCATTCCTCCTCTGAAAGAAATAACTGCCCTGCTCTCTCTCCCCCAACGCCAGGAGCCCAGAGCAACAGAAATTTGACCAGCAAGGGGAAAGGAGCTGCCTTGGCTGTGCAAGGCCCCTTGGTCAGCAGGCATCACTCACTGCCCTGCACTCCTAATCACTTCTTTCCTTGGAGCCCTCGTGCTGCCAGATCCCAGACTGCAAGCAGGAAACAAAGGGAAAGGGATGGGAGTCTGGCAAGGGCAAAGCAGGAGAGGCTGCTGCAGCCCCAAGTAATTCCAGTCTCTGCAGAAAGGAAAGGCAGGGCTCCCAGAACAGGCTGCATGTGCTGAGCAGGGCGGCGCAAACAGACACCATGTGGTGTGGGCCATGCAATTTATTTTTAGCCAAAGGTAATTATGATAAATATCAGAGTGCCAACTAGCCCAGAAAAGTGTGAGGCTGACCTAAAATTGTCTGTTAATAGCAAAATGCTCCAGGTAAGATCAGTGCCTCACTCAGTTCTTCACTTGCCCATGAAGTACAAGCAAAGATAAGGAAGCAGCATGCCCACTCAGTGGAATAAATAAGATCCTTATAACAACGAGATTTAAGGATAGTAACAGCCTGGAAAGGTCCCATCCAGCCACAAACTCAAGTCTGGGCTCATTCACGCTAAATAACAGAAGGGAAAGTCAGAGCAGCCTAAAATCAGCACCTGTGAAATAGACTGTGCTTGTTTCAAATAGAAGGTACCTTGATGTCTTTCAAGAAAGAATATATTCTAAGGAAATAAAACAGTAGCAGTTGAAAGGCCATTGCAAGGCCTCTCGACTTTCTCCAGGCTCTCTAAAGCAGCAGAGCGCAGCGAGCGACACGCTGCATCCCAGCAGCGCTCTCGGAACCCACAGACATCAACTGAACACCCAGCACCCAAAGGGAACGTGCACCAAGCACCTCCTGCCCTCCTCTGGCATTGCCTTAGCTTCCAATCACCCCAGGAAGGCTACGGAGCCAGGGGCTTTTGCAATCCTCACTGCAGTACAACACCTAAAATGCAAGTAACCTCACTCAAACCTTGTTCAGTCCATGGGCATGTCCCATCTTGGAAACACGTCCAGGTTGCTGTCTTGAAGCTGAAGATGTAACATACTAATCTGAACCAGCTTCCTTCAGCTGGAATTGGGCACAAAACTTTATCAGTTGCCTCTAAAAATCTCAGTGTTTCTGTTACAAGCTTGGTTTATAGCAGATAACAGAAAAATGAAGACATTCAAAATAACTGAATATATTCAGAGCGGTAGAGAACACTCTCCTCTTTGTTGAGTGTCTCTTTCTATCAGGAAAACTGGGGGAGGAAGCAAAAATGAGAGACTCACCTTCAGGGCAGGAATCTCCACATTGTCACCAAGGCTAACAGAGCCAGAGAGAATAGTCCCTGTCATCACCGTGCCTTGACCCTTGATAGAGAAGCAGTGGTCGACGGCCATAAGGAAGTGTCCCGAGGGGTCTCTCGATGGCAGGTAAGCCTGAGACTTGAGGACCTGAAAAAAGACAAAAGCAGCACCATGCCTGGGTGAAAAGTCATGACAGCCATAAAGCAGGAGGAAGGCAAGTGGATGATTGATTCAACAAGCTCCCTGTTTTACTGATTTCAGACATCCCCCAGGAGCTGAGAACACCCCAATGTCACATTAACCGCACGCTTAACAGCGGGAGCGGTTCCATCTTCTGCTACAGAAAGATTTGCTGCTGCACATTCAGCTTGATTAGCAAAACTGCATTGGCGATAAAGTTCCTGCCAAACTCAAATAAACACTGCAGCAAAGCAAAAAGTCCTGTACCCCTCCCCTCTGCTTCTTTTTTTTACCCTCTTCCAAAAAGTGGATTTTTACAGTGTATTTTGCTACTTCAGCTTCTCTGATTTTGTGAGAAGCATCTTACATACAGCCAAATTTTGCTTCAGATTTATGTTAACTTTTTTTGGAGGATCAAGCCACTAAGAGAAATAGCTATATAGGAAGTATTTTCTAGAAAAAAAAAAATCCACGTTTAAGATTTGCATTTTCTTGACAAACCTTTTGTTTCTTGAAATATACCATCATAGACAGAAATTCAGTCACGTACCCAACAATGATCAAGAGGAACTGGTTCATCTCTGGTCTCAGATCATCTTTGATTCCCTATCCCTGTTATCACATCAGCATATATACCTGGCACTGCCTTTAATATATGATTTTAAGGTCAGGAACAGCAGGTGAAGCCCAAGTTGCACTGGTAGAACGATGGAGAGTGAGAGAGTGTCTTACCAAGGACAGAGAGGATAAAACGCTGACGCTCTTGCCAGCTCCTCTAATATTAAGTCTCAGAGCTGACAAACAGCTGCAATATGGGCATTTCCTTGAAAGCTTTTTGGCAAAGTAAATCTACCCGGACCTAGACAACAGCAAAACTGAAGCCCCACTTGTCTCCACCTCTCTGAGGTTGCAGAGACCAGATCACATCTGGGTGCCCCAGCTCAGGCCACAAGTGCCTGCAAGGCCAGTATGAAATTCAGTGCTTGGAAGCCATGGAGAATTTGTGTCTCTGCAAAAGCCAGGCTGCTCCTGCTCCAGTCCAGGCATCTCTAGACTTTATAATTTGCGCTATACCCTAATTCTGCCAATTTACAGGTATTTTAAACCTTGTAACAACCAGATTGGACCTTGATAAAGAATAATGCTGCTGGTTTAGGACTGCTTTCCACTGACTGCAAGCAGCCGACGGGAGGCCGTAGCAAGGCCAAGCAGTGCAAGAGGAAGGTGGTTTCATGGGGAAGGCACATGGTGCTGCCCTGAACAATGAATTCTGCATTTGCCTGGGCCAGAGCTCCTATGACACGTTACTCTCCTAAAAATGAAACTTGCCACAGGCCATCACTGCCTGTATTCCTGAGGCTGTCCAAACAGAAACTGCAGAACCTGAGGAACAGAAGTGCTAAGCACTCTCAATTGTGATCAGAATTGGCAGGTTCTGTAATCTGAACACATTAAGGACTGTATATTAGCATGTCCTGAAGGATTTTGTTTCCTTAAATTTGGCATCAAAAATTAGTGAACACATTGGACATAACACCTTTGTGCCTCAGCTTTCCAATCTAAATGCAGGATAAAAGTCACCTCTACGCTTTGCACTGGTGTTTTAGAAATAAGTTAACTGTTTGCCAAGTGCTCAAGACCACGATGAGTGCCAAAGAAAAGTCCACGAGGAAATTAATCATTCTGAATGCAGAGCAGTATTTGAATGGAGCCATAAGGCCACACAGTGAATAATGAGAATAGAAAAAAACAGTGACTACCTGCTCATTAGCTGAGCCCTATCCATCGTATGCAAGGGATGAGGCCAGATTTATCCAGAGCAGACTCATGCACTTGAGCACACGAAGGAGACAAACTCAGATGCGGAACTTGAGTGCTTGACTTGCTAACTTTAGTTTTCTTAAGTGCTGGGGGTACTTAAAAAAAGAACACTTGCCATAATTTAGCAGAATTTTAAGACTACGTTTACTCACTATACTCAGTAATCACATTTCACTACATGTGTGACAGCTGTTTCTTGAGATGCAGCTGTTTAAAGACACTGAAACGAAGCAGTTGAAAAAGTGCCTTTTTGGGGCACTCAGCCTCAACTTCCATTCAATTAAAAGGGACCCCCTAAGGAATTAGGTCCCTTAAGACTCAAACATTAATGCAGGAATTCCTCAGCATTAGATAACAACACGGTGTACTCGATGACTTCACAAGTTTGAGCATATTTTATGGCATTATGACGTTCTTCAACAGGTACCTCAATTAATTCAGAAACACCTATTGGAGTCTCAGACTCTGGGGCTTCCGGTCCACCAGGCTTTGCTGCAACAGCAACAATAGGACACCCACAGAACCTGAAAGAGAGAAAGACTCCCACCATTAGACCACAAATTTCCTCCTGGGCAAATGCAAAGTAGTTCCAGACTCATCTGACAATAAACATAAAGAAACTGCCTTTAATTCCTATTTATCCGCTTCGCACCAGAGTGAATAGCTGACCTTTTCTTCAGCAATGACAAGCATTTGTGCTTCTTGACTTCACTGCAAAATCTTCAACACTATTTAGCTTTGCATTAGCCTCCAATTCATTTCCACAGGCAGCTAAAAGTAAGATTTTGGTTTATTTCAGAAGCAGGAGCCAGTTATTCCATCTTATTGCAGCAGCTTTGCATTCAAGGCATTTACCTGACCCTAACACTGCTTTCTGTTTTCACTCATCATCATCGGTCTGGCTGTAGAGTCCTAAGCTCCAAAACAGAGATGCAAGATGGCACAAGGTATCTACCTGGGACTGCAAGACAGCCTGTAACATGTGTGCAGACAACAGTCAAATCTAACTCTGTGGAAATCCACAGTTATGAAACTAAGTTATAAGGATCAAAAATATTACAGTGTTGACAAGATAAAAGATGATCTTTGCAGTATGCAGCTTCAGAGAAGAACAGTTCTTCCAAAGCTGATCTCGGTTTAGCTCTTCTCTTGCAATAAATTTTATTAAGTCTTAAATATTTAGCAGCATTTTTAAAGCAGTTGACTTATAACATTTGCTTGCTAAAATGCAAACTGTTTTTTGTCTCATGCGACAACTTGCTTTGACAACAGTTTTGAAAGAGGTTGGATTTTAAGTCAATTCAAGGCTTCATTCTTGCAGAAGCCAGGATTAATGTATTATTTATAAATATTCATATATAAATAATTTAAAGCAATGGAATAGTAATCATTGTACAGTAAATAAACTAATTGGCTATCACAGATGCTTGATCTGTACACAGCAGAACCAGACCAAAGTCAGCATTGCTGTCATCTGTTTGAGTCCCCACTGCCTTTGCCAACTCAGATTTTAATCTCAAAAAGGGAAAAGACTGGAGGAAAAGGATAGTGCCTCGATAAAGCAAAGCTGCTAAATTCTGTAGAGGAAGCTCATTTAATAATGAAACAGGAATGCAAAATATAAGGTATTTTCTCTCCATCTGCCATAGCCCGGAGGCATCTAGGGACAAAGGGGAATAAAACTATGCACCAAGAATCCTGCCACTGACCATAAAAGCCTGCACCAAGTATTCCAGGTGATGCATCATAAAACTTTTGGAAATTTATTTTCAAACACACTTTTGTCCAACATACTGTAATAAATATAAGCTTATGCCGACCCAGGAGCCTCCCTCCTGTTGCCGTACAGCAGAACAAACTGGAGCAATCACATACTGCTTCGGAGGTTGGACGCACTTCCAAACGTGATGCAGCTCTGCTAGAACTGTCTTACTGCATCACACTGATTTATTGTCAGCAGAGTTTAGACTCTGCTGGACGAAGATAAAAGCTGGCATGAGCAACAAATCATGACAAAACAGAAATTCCATTCACAGGGACAGTTTGCTTTTACTTCCGTATCAATCTATGGAATGAGCAAGCCATGATGAGGTCAAATTTGCAAGTGTCAAGCTATTCAAATATATGACAGTTAGTCTCCTCTATTTTTTCACCTTCCACAGAATTGCCTGACAATGCTGCAATAATTTCACTACCATAAATGGTGGCACCTATTCCACAGTTGCAGTAGACTTCAGATTTGTTTCCTGTTATGGAATTGCCCATACATGCATGTGTGTGTGTGTGTGTGTGAAGGACCAATAATCATTAAGTAACAAGTCCTGGGAAAACATCATTGCTAAATGCTCTAGACCAGAGGCAGCTGTCAAATTGCTCAACACAAGCCCTGCTAATAAACATAGTTTAGAAATGCAAAAAATTTAAAGCATGCATTTGGAGACTCAAAGGGGAGTGGGAAAGAGGGTGTCAGAAACAACTCAGGCCTGGGATGCCTGGGGGCTGGTGGCCCTTTACAGGCAGCCCAGGGCCACGGCGCTTCCAAAGCACCATAAGGCAGAGCCACGTGCAGGGAGGGAGCGTGTGCTGTGGGAACAACACGTAGACACGTTCAACAGAAGGGCATCTGAAGACCCAAGGTTAATTAAAACATTACAACGGACCATTTCTCTCCAGGTGGAATCACTGCTGTGATGCTAAGGGTCCAAGAGGTCACTTGGCCTTCAGCTTCCACAACTGTTAACTTTCAAGATATTCTTTAAGACCCACCTGTATCCCAGGGTGTAAAGAGATTTAATTCAGACAGTGCATATAAGGAGTACTTCTGAATACCAGATTCCTTCCAAAAATTAGTGTCACCTTTATGAATGCATGCAACTAGAAAGGTCTTTTTTTCAGTTATGTAATATGACTGGGGACTAAATGAAGACTAACCATCTGCAGCAGTAATTACTGCCATTCAAGAAAAATAAAACCAGAATTTTAGTAGTATATGAATACACTCAACTATTAAAAGCTCTCGGCTTCTTGGTATAGATTGCAAATATAGAAATAGACTAAAAAAAAAACACTACAGTGCTGATGAAAATGAATGGACCAAAGAACAACACAGCAGCTGATAAAACAGCAAGATCTCCACTGTCAGGACCGTAGCAGTGATGTAGTTGAACGGGGACATTGCTCTATCACTACAAATAAGCTAAGCAGGAATTGCCATATCCAACCAAGCTTTCATTTTGGAGCAGATGACATTATCTCTGCGATGCTCAGTGCTGTTCCTCACACTTCAAAATGTGACTGAACTATTAGATCCCTAGGAGTAAGTCATAGTGCCCCCTTACAACCTTGGGAAAAGCAACCTGTGCTTCAATTTTTGTACCATTAAACACATACTGTACAGATAAAGTATCTTTCCACCTTCTAATAGACACTTTCACAGTCCACTTCCGTCATTTACGTCCAATAATTTATCTGAGCAGTACCAATGGCCACGAACCCAGCTCTATTCTCCACATTATGTTCTATAAAAGTTCCATCATTCTGCTC